ATTCAGTCAGATGATATTTGCAGTATCTCTGACTTCACCAATCTATTCAGGAAAGTTATTAGAAGTATGTTCTTCTGTACCTACCGCACCATCAAATCTTCTGCTAGAAAAGTTAGTGGGACAGATTTTCAAAACTGTCCACCTAGGGAACTGTACCATGCTAAGAACCAAATGGTCCCCTAGTATGCTTGTAAAACACATGTCCACACACAAGCGTGATCTAAACAGTTTTCAAGCATGCCAAATACTGCATGGATTAGATTTGTATTACTCAGGATTAAATACTGGTTTAGACTAAACCATTTCAGTCTGCCCCATTGTAGCGTCAATGCAGACCTGTCAGCTTTACATGTTAGATTATAGGTTTGCAGACCCTGCAGGCAAAACTCATCAGTTTACAGTAAAAGCCTCTTTGACTGGTTGAAGACCGATTGGAAGGCACGAGATGCACTGTCCTAGGGATGGGGGTTCCACGACCACCTCTCCCAAGAGAAGGAGAAGGGTGGTGGTGGTCGGGGACTCCCTCCTCAGGGGGACTAAGTCATCTATCTGCCACCCCGACCGAGAAAACCGAGAGTTCTGCTGCTTGCCAGGAGCTAGGATTCATGATGTGACGGAGAGACTGCGAGACTCATCAAGCCCTCGGATCGCTACCCCTTCCTGCTTCTCCATGTGGGCACCAATGGTACTGCCAAGAATGACCTTGAGCGGATTACTGCAGACTATGTGGCTCTGGGAAGAAGGATAAAGGAGTTTGAGGCGCAAGTAGTGTTCTCATCCATCCTCCCTGTGCAGGGAAAAGGCCTGGGTAGAGACCGTCGAATTGTGGAAGTCAATGAACGGCTACGCAGGTGGTGTCGGAGAGAAGGCTTTGGATTCTTTGACCATGGGATGGTGTTCCAAGAAGGAGGATTGCTAGGCAGAGACGGGCTCCACCTAACGAAGAGAGGGAAGAGCATCTTTGCAAGCAGGCTGGCTAACCTAGTGAGGAGGGCTTTAAACTAGGTTCACCGGGAAGGAGACCAAAGCCCTGAGATAAGTGGGGAAATGGGATATCAGGAGGAAGCA